CGAAAGTACGATCGGGTACACATAGCATTCTGTTTTTGACCTTTTGCCTTTGTTTTTGATAGTTTAATTATAAATTTAATGTTTTTTGCTTTATAGATTAAATAAAAATAAATATCTATAGTCATCTTCGAAACGTCTCTCTCTAAAATACCGACTTAATTAATGCACAAATAGGAATGTATATAATTGAATATTTGTAATTGAATTTTAAGAATATGCAATTTGTAGCTCAATTTTATAATTTTATGGTAAGATTGTAAAATATAACTTATAATTTGGGGTGGATTACAAATTTTCTATGTTTTGTTAGCGTTGTAGTGTTATGCTCTAATTGAACCAAACGAGCCAATTTGAGCGTTTGGAGCTTATGTTCATTTATGTTCAAATACAATTTGTGTTTGTTATTGTTCAACAATTCATATTCGAGCTAACTCGTGAACCTGACCTTTAAAATGTTTGAGCTTGCTCGTGTTTGAGTAATTTATTAGTAAACAAAATGTTAAAGTTGTTTGATTAATTATCTTGCTCAGTTCAGTTTGTTCAAATTCAAGCTTGAAATTAAATATATATATATATATATATATATATTATATTTTATAAAATTTGATTATAAATATTATATATATGAATAACAAATGAATAAATGTACATCACAAATAATTGTGAATATGCTCGTGTTCATTCCATTAGCAAATAAGGTTAAGATTCCGTTCGAGTTCGACTCGATTGACTAAAAAACAAGCTTTATTCGAATCCTAATCAATTTATATAAAGCTCCACATGTGAGTTGGTGAATATTTTTATAATGGGAGGATGTTATGAAATTGATGAATGAATTTATCTTTTGCTCCAACATATTGAGCACATTTTATAATTTTACTATTTTTTGTTCTGAAAGCCTCATTGTTGATATCGGAGTTGAGTCGGTATAGAATTCCCGGTTCGGAGATGAAGGACCGGGATAAGACGACCTCAAATCCCAGGCTGGAGTCAGAGTAATTTCAAAATGCCAAATTGACCCGGAAACAAAGTGGACGAGGATGAAGAACTATACGATCCTTGAGGTCTGCACCTAGACAGTTCAGTAACGAGGTCGACCTCCGAGAACGTCGAACAGGAAAGAGACCAGAGGATTAAGTGACGATGGAAGTCCGACCTGAAGATTTGCCTCCGGCTTCTGAACTGACGCATGACCAGGAATTAATAAAATATTGTCACTTATCAAGTGATGATTGCTGATGGGACGTAATATCCTAATCAATTACCATAGAGTATCTAGACTAGTAGGGTGGTCTGTCAGCATTAAATGCACACATGAGGAACATTTAATGTTTGACAGGTAATCATTGGAGAAACCTCAAATTACATTCAATACATGTCAGAGTGGCGCCGACCTGTCATCTCCGAACTATTGTGTGACGTGATGCGGTGAACAGTGTCCGAAAAGTGTCAGTTTAAGATTACTATAAATAGGCAACTCAGTTCATTTATTGTGGTTGTTGAACCTTGTACCAACTAATTCTTTCTCTACATTTACTCTCTCAATATGTAATAATCTCTTGCGAACACTCTCAAGTGTAACGAAAGTGTCGGCCTCAATATCAGAGGCCGAACTCGTAATTAAACAATAACATCTAATTATCCCATAAATCTCTATTCCCTTATCTTTTTACTCCTCTTTATCTCTTTTTTATTCGTTGATCGAATCCTACCATCAACACTCATCATCATACAATTTTTAGAGTGGAAATTCTTACTGAAAATGACTGATGAACATTATAATTTGAGTGAAAATTGATATTAATTTGATTTCTAGAGTGTATGATATTTGATTCTATCATATATATTTATTTTTTTCTGGCTATCATTAAATCATTCAATATTGCTCACATTTCTTGTTCCATATATTCTTACACTTAAAAGCTTATGAAAAATCGTTTGATTGTCCTATAATCATATTTAATAATTACTTGTAAACAATGAGCTCACAATATATATTTAGAAACTCTGCACTAGCTTCTAGAAGACATGATTAAATGCAAAACTAAGCAGCCTGTAATTAATCAATTATTCAATAAAAACTAATACTAATAATTTGGACAAGTAACGCGCAAGCAAATCCTTCACGAGGTTCACAGATTTGGGACAATAAAATAAACAAACCTGGAGACTTAGGTCAAAGTAACGCTGTCTTTTAACATGGTTGTATTATTATAAAATTCTTGTCATATCTCTTTGACTTTGACAATCATTTGAAACAGTGTAAACTAAATATTTCCCTTTATTTAATATACTATAGTAACTTGTTAAATAAATTGACCATTTTAGCTAGTGTTGTTAAGGTTGGAGTTTAAAATATACCCTTATCTTCATAAGGTGTATATTTATATGATTTTTATTTTTTTTTTATTTTTTTCAAACTTTTCTAAACTATATATAGAATAGGCAGAAAAATCTTAAAAGAATGGCAAACAAATATGAAATCATAATAAATAAGGCTTTAAATCAATCTACAAAATAAGCTCGGGCTCGTTTACCAAATATGCGCTCATTTATGGCTTGATAAGTTGGAGTGTTTACATAAATTTTTGAATTTTTTAAGTCAAGTTCGAACTCGTTTATTTAACGTCTCAGGTTCGAACATCGAACTCGTTTACAGCTCTATTAGAAATCAAGTTATCAATTTTATTTACATCAATGTGATGTTTAAATTTTTGGGAAAGTATAATAACGAGGTAAAGGTATCATTATAATTTATAAAGCTCCTATCTGGAAACACTAAATCAACAATATAGTAACTTTTTACGTATTATAAGTTGTCAACTCGTGCAATTTTGCTGTCACACGGTGGGAGACTGAGTCAAGCATGTAATTAGTAATGATGATTAAGAGAATTAAGTACCATTTTTGACTAGCAAATCAAGTTAGTCTTCAACAAAATCTCATTATTTAAATATTGGAACATTTTTAAATAAATATTTCTCCACGTTATCACCTGAAGAGAGATTGTCGTTGTGGAATTTCTAATTGTGATATTATACGATATTAATCATCATGTTAACATAGAGATATAAAAATATAAATTAATTATAAATTCCATTTTTTTCTTATTTTTGTAAATGTCGTGCTTTGGCAACGGAAATTGTGGACCCTATAATGTGAAAACTGAAAATGTTAGTTGTAAAACATACGAATGCATGAATTTATTAATTAGGAGTATATACAATTGGTTGTGAAAGCATAAATATTTCTTTGTTCGGATATGATTATAATTAAATTAGTTTATTATTTCAATCTCAAAGATAAAAGTGTGTTGATGAGATCGTGCTCCAAAAAGATTTTCATCGTCTCTAATAGTATAATCATCTTTTTATTTGATGATCTAAAGTTTAAACATTTAAATTTTATTCCAATGAATTTTATACATATATTTCATACCCCTTTAAGAAGTATGTTATGTTATTATTAACATTATTGGACATGATAAGTTATGCTTGATGAGTTTATTATTATTATTTTTTAAATATTACCGTCTATTTTCCTGATTCGATATGGTCATGGACAGGCTTGTTCAGGTCCCAAATGAATACATGTACATCTAAGTTAGTGTTCCACAAAAAATATTTTATTTTTCACCAAAATAATTTTTTTTCGTCAGATTTGACTGAGTGGCAATAAAATGAAAATGAAATAAATAAGTAAAAGTAAGTTAATATACATTTTTTGGTTGCTTTTCTCTCCCGAAAAACCTAATCCCCAAATTCATCCGCTGCTTTTCCTAAATCTTCTCATCGATCGGCCTTCCCCGGCGATAGCGTGGCTCCGGCCAATGGCAGTCTTCAACTGCTCGCTCCTCTCTTGACCTCCGCTCCTCCGATGTGGTTGCGAACGGTCGAATATGGGTGGTCGGTCCTTGGTTGTCGACGGTTGATCGATCTGTGGCGCGGCTCCCGGTCAGAGAACGGCCTGCGATTCGATCGCCGGCAGGTCCTCGGTTGGAAGTCGTCACCTTTCGATCTACCTCTGGTCTGTGAATTGAGGATCCCTCTCGAATGGCATCCCCTTATCCGGTGGCGTTTTGGGTGGAGTTTGGCCTCCCGTGGCCGGCAGATTGCAGTGGTGAGGTGTGTGGGTCTGCTCGTGGGGCGGGGCTTAGGCAGCGTCGTGGTGGGGCAGGGCTTCGGCTGGGTCCCACACCGGGTTGTCGGAGTTGCGAAATGCACCTCTCTCTATCTCCCCTGTCGGTTAGTGGTGTTAGGCGGCGGGGGTCCTGGCTCTCCCGAGCTCGACTAGTGGTGTTAGACAGGTTCGGGGGACTAGTCTGGGGGCTAGTTCTTGTTTCTCTTGGTTGGAGACGAATCGATTCAGGGATTGGTTCAGGGCTTGGTTTCGACTACAGTATAGGCGGCTCGCAGTTTCGGTAGTGGCTTCTCGGGCTTAGAATCTTTCTTGTGTCAATTGTTCACTGTTGGTTGGGTTGGTCTGTTTGCTGGGGAAGGGCTTGCGTGTTCGATTTCTAGGCGATCTTCGGATTGACCTCCCTGTTTTTTCAACTGTTTGTTGGGTCATTCAGCTAGGGGTTATAACTTTGCACATTTGTGCGTTTGTTTAATAGTAATCTCTATCGTTCCGAAAAAAAAAAAAAAAGTTAATATTAATATAAATAATTTCAGATAAAAATTAACTAAACACTAATTTAATTTTTGATTTCAAATAATAACTAATCAATTTGAAAAAAAAAATCATATAATTTTTTACGATCCAAATCATTTGTCAATTATTCGAAATTGATGTGACAAATGACAATCATCTTACATAAAATAAAATGATGGACAAAAAATAAGGGCTAAAACGGGACCATCGTCCGTACAAAAAACCCAGCTTATCACCAAACGAGCGGTCCCAATTGATATTCCCTTTTTACCCCTCACACAAATTTCACCACCATTTAAAAAAAACTAAAAATAAAATTAATTATCGTCAATCCACGCTCACACAGCTTTCCACGACGACCACGACTCGAGCGTGGGAAAGCTGCAAAACGAGTCGAACAATCGCTCCGCCGCCGCGCCTCCGCCGTCCGCCACCGGCGACGGCTGCGATACAGGAGGCTCCGGCAGAAAAGCCGACGTGTCGAGCGTCGGCAAGCCACCGTCCAGATCCACCACTCCGCCGATCCGGTCCTCCCCGAGCGCCGGAGCCAGATCCACCGCCCCGCCCAACCCGAGCTTCACGCCGGTGACCTGCTGCACCATCCGCCTGAAATTCTCCGGATCCGCCACGATGAACGTCGTCGTAGCCGACCGCCTCGACCCGCGTGGCTTCCTCTTCGACACCCTGCCGCTCGGCGGAACGCCGCCGGCCACGCGCCGCCTCTTCGGAGCTGCGAAATCCGCCTCCGATCCTCCGGATGCCGTCGGGATTGTCGCTGCCAGTGACTCGAGGACCTCCGCCGAGGAATCGCCGGAGAATGAGCTCCGCAGAGCCACCCCCAGCGGATCGGCTCCGTCATCGAACTCGCCGGAGTACCAGGCGTCGCCGAACGCCGAGCGGTACTGCCACGGCTGCTCTGCTATCAGGTTCTCATAGTACGACATTACTATTATCCAGTTTTCGCTTCAATTAGCACCGCAAAAACAGATTTCAGTTCAAAAATTGATGATGCAAAATGAAAAATTGAAGGAAAAAAAAGTTAATTCAGCTTGAGCTTGAAGAACTTAAAAATAGATACACATATACATGTATATATGTTTTGTATGTATATATGTAACTATGTAAGTATTTTGAGAGTTTTGCAGAGTGAAGGGGAGATTTACGGTTATGGAGTAGTGTGGTGAAAGTTGGGGTTTTATAAATAGGGCGGTGGTGGGCCCAAACGCGTTGCGTTGGACACGTGGGCCTGCTGACATACGAGAATTTAGCTAATAAACAATTTTTTAAAAGGAAATAAATAAATAAACAGCTTTATTTATTGATTAATTATTGTTAAGAGTGATGAAATTTTTGGCGCCGAGAATTTCACAATTGTTGGACCAAATGTGGAATTAGATTGTTCGATTAAATGTTATTTATTGAAACTCGTTTTAGTTGTGCTCATCAACATATATCAGGGGACTTTGAGTTCACAATTATTTCATATATGTGCATATATAGCAAATTAAAGTGATAGGAAAACCTTCCATTGAGTTTCAATTAGATTATTGTTTATAACTACACTAGTGTGAATTGTGATTTGTGATGCACATATACATGTTATCTTATGTACTTACTATGTTTTATATGGTTACAATTCAATGGAGTGAAAAAGTGACTTCTTTATGGAGCCATAATATATGTCCCAATATATTTATTTTAGGACACATATTAATATACCATTTTATAAATGATTGTTGTTGATTTAGTATTTATATAAAAAATTCTATATCGTACTAATTACTAATAATTACAGATAAATTCCGAAGATATAAATGAAAAGGTTGTTAAATTTTATGCGAGTTACTTTATCTACACTACTTGCAGGTGAATAAATTTGTCATTGGTTACCACCAACATTGGTGTTAAAAATATTTAATGGAGTGATTGGTTATAAAACTATAAGTTTGTCTATATATTGTTGATTTGTAGGTTGAAAAATACATACTATATGTTTGATAATGTATATTTTGTCACACGTATATATATATTTTTAACTTATTTAATCCTTCTCTATCGTT